CCCATGGTCCTTCTATTGCTGGAATAATTTCATCTCATTTGAGTAACAGTTGGAATAGTTACAAAAATATGTTTTAGGGATTATAAGGCTTATTCCTGATTATACTACAAATATATCAAACGTCAAATATTCCTCAAAAATATAAATGTACTGATCTCTCCATGGATATTTAATAACAGTGTTAGACTAGTAGGGATTTAAGTGGACTGTAACATAGTTTTTAATTTAGGGAATAAAATCAATTTATAGCTTTTGACCTATGGCCAGTCTCAGCCTTGGTTCAGTTCTGCAAGATAATTTGCCTAAATCCTTTCCTCTACACAAAGTCCTGCCTCTCCAAAATAAATTACTGACTTCTGGCCTGTGTCCCCCTGTCAGAAAATCTCGTAATTCTTATCCATCCTGCTCCTCTTGCACTGTGTTAAAGAGCCTTCCTAGTCTGATAATTCTATGTCCCTAAAAAACAGGAACATTTCTGCTGTTCTTTCAGTAAACAGTGGTGGTGTTGGGCGCATTTTATGGAATTTTTTTTTAAACCCCAGTTGAAAAGTCTCACAGAATATGCTGCCAGCCAGATGAGCTGCTGAAACTGAGAACTGGACGCACGCAGGCGAGCACAAATACACTACGCTCACTCTTCACCAATAATTCATGTAACACCTCTGGCATCATGCTTCCTACTAGGCATCTTTCTATAACCCCGCAGCTAGTATTAGATTCACCTGGGGATTCCTTTGAACTAAGTTACTGTATTCAGGCTTTTCTTCATCATCCATGTTGGTGCTCAATTCCTGTATATGCCAGAGGAGACCTGGATTAGACAAGATTTTGAAAATGTTGAGGAAGAGAAACAGAGAAGGTGGAAGGTGTGAAAGAGCCGCCGAATAAATATGAGGAGAGAGTGCACGAACAGGGCGACGACTCAACAGAGTAGAAAGAAAAGACAGTGGCAGACATGACAACATGAAAATGGAAAAGGAAGTGATAATTTTCCTCTCCCAAATACCCATCTGCAAATGCTGTTAGCGTATTTCCACCAAATACATTTCCTAGGATTCATGTTCACTCAGGAGAAGGAACCCAAGTTTTAACTTGACAAGCAGATTGTCTGGTAAGAAGATCACACTCAAAAATACTTTGTCCGTCGTTGCGTTGTGTCCAATTCACACAAACTCAAGCAGTTTTAGAAAGGCAGCACTAGCGAAATAGATCTATGTAATCAAATAATGCCTGCAATTCAATTGGTACCACTTTTATTCAAACATTTTAAAAGGGTGGCATGCTTTACATATGTTTGGATCATCCTAAATCTGGGGTTTCTTGCATAACTGCGTGAAGGACAACTTGGTATCTGACTAAGAGATTTGGTTCTTGGAAAACCTCAGCAGACTGAGTGACATGGGCAGGTAACAGCAAGAAAAAGGCTATGCTCCTATACCTGGTAGGTTTATAGCAGTGTAGAATTGAAGTGCTGAGAGAATATTTAGTTACATGTTTCTTCTAAATAAACTAATGTTCTCCAATATGGTTTTGTTGAAGTGAAGTTTCTTTTTAATCCTTTTTCTAGTTTGCAAGAGGTATACATAACTTTTCTAACTTCTTGAACAACTAAGAACTCTGAAAGCTGACTTACAATCAATCCTGTATAATATCTTTACTGCTATGGTTTTTTTTTTTCACTGCTTTCAACAAGAATACAGATCTCTGCACAGAAGGAATTAACTCTCATTAATAACTTTTATTACACTGGAATAACGTGATGACCATGTATTCAGGGTGTTCATTGAAATGCATTCACCATAGCGTTGCTATGGAATGTCATTTACTTCGCATGTAAATACCAAAACACTTTTTGTAGCATTTTGGAGGACACATCAGATGGACCACTGGTGGTGTCAGTTATAGCAGCAACCCTTCTTTCTATAGATGTTCACGTCAGCCACTGTTTTAGACATCTCCTCAGGATTTTATATCTCATTGATTACACTTCAGTCCACCAGAGCTGTGACATCTTTGTAGAAAGATCTTCACTTGCCTTTGAATATCTTGCATTTGAATATCTTTTACCTTCTGGAAAGTGAGCAGTGGGAGAGAGGGAAGATATCTGCTGTGCCCAGCGTCCTAGTGGCCTCCCTTTTTCTACCAGAGGAGGTATTTAGTGATGTGCTGAGTCAATTCTACAGATGACCTCTGCTCCTGTTACATTAAATTTTGTTAGCTGTTCATATTCCTTTTGCTTCAGTCTGCCATCTTCTCAGTTACCTTGTATTAATTTTTTTGTAGGAAGCTTTTGGACGCAGAGGATGAGCTCTCCGATATCCAGTCGGATTCGGTCCCGCTGGAAGTGCGGGACTGGTTAGCTTCTACGTTCACGAGGGAGATGGGAATAGTGAAGAGGAGACCTGAAGAAAAGCCCAAATTCCGAAGCATTGTGCACGCTGTTCAGGCTGGGATTTTTGTAGAAAGGTGAGAGCTTTGTTTTCTTGTTACAGCAAGTACTGCATTTAACCACAGTGTCTGTCATTGAAGATCCCTTAAGTGGTGGGAAGAACCCAAAGCAAATCTTTGAGCAAGAATTTAGGTTTCAATTTCTGAAATCACTCTATTTTTCTATACAGAAACACAGATGAAACCTCTAAATTTGTAATGAAACCGCTTGGACTTGGAAAATTCTGGGAATGAACTTTATGGCTTTTAAACTTCTACACTAAAATGTACCAAAGACTGCACTAGCATAGAAGAGTAATACCAGCAGAGAGGCTTTTCTCAATAAGTTCATAAAAAGATTTATATCATCTTTGGGATCAGACCCTTAAATAGCTTAGTATTATTTCAAAGACTGTGAAAAATGAATTAAAAAAAGAGAAATTGTTCCAGTACTTTTTAAAGGAGTGCTATTCCTTAATATTTTATTTGTTCTTTTAGGATGTACCGAAGAACTTCTAGCATGGTTGGTTTGGCTTACCCAGCAGAAGTGCTAGTAACATTTAAGGTGAAACAAGTTTAATCATTGTGGAATTTGAATGTATTTGTACTTATGTTTAGTAACTTTTAGAGTGAAATTAATATATTTTTCTACTGGACATACCTTAGCCATAGTTATTACTACTGAACAGAGAAATTAATAGTTAAAAATTCACAAATAGATTCTGTTTATTGTTTCACTGATTAGTTATGATTTCTTTTAGACATTATTAGAGCAATAGGCTGAAGTTTGTATAGAAATTTTTATAGAAATGTGAGACATGGTTTTATCAGCTATGGTAATCAGTGTCTCAGCAGCATATATTTCCTTTTTAGGAAAGCAAAAGGAGTAGTAGTATTGGGATAGAGCTAACAAAAGAAGCTGCAGCTTATGGAACAAGTAGAGTATTTGCTGTGAGTTTAGGCATTACTGTAGTTCACCCAAAAGGCTACTACTACCCATAGTAGTAAAGTTTTTATGGCTATGTATGCAATTAAAAAATGGTATTACTTGAGAATGTAGTACCTCACCTTTTCCCCTGAAAGTCAAACACTGTTACATTATTCTCAAATCACTATGTGGCTGAAATGTTAATGACATTGCATAATAGCCTATTTAAAGGATCAATACTCACATTAGCTCCATGAGGTTCTATAGACAATTTGTATGCAGAAGATTAAATTTGAAAGATTACGGCCTTCAATTTGAAGCATACAAAGTTGCATAGGTCATGTTACAGGTATTTTATTAATAACTGGCACAACTATTTTCATCATTAATATTGAAATAGTCATTAATGTATTATGTACAGTAGGAGTTTGAAAGAGTTGGACAAAAAAATCACCAAACTCTCCCCTTTCCCCCCAAAAAAACTCAAAATATCTTTTCCAGTGATTAACTGGAAACCTACTTAAACAGATGAAAATTTTATGTTTTTTTCTTTTCCCCTCATCTACAGGATGTTGATAAATGGTCTTTTGACGTATTTGCCCTAAATGAAGCAAGTGGAGAGCACAGTCTGAAATTTATGATGTATGAGCTGTTTACCCGATATGACCTTTTGAGCCGTTTCAAGGTCAGAAACTAGCCATAAATAAAAATATGTATGTCAAGTTTAAAATGCAAGAAAGCCAGGATATGTTTGAAATGTTTTTTGTTGTACGGTGCAGTGCAGAATATCAAAGAATATGGCAAATCGAACATTGTAATATGCCAGTAATTCCACCAAATGGAAACTTCACCCAGAGCATGCAAATTTTTTTGCAACCCAAAAAATGGAAAGCTGTGTGGACCCATGTCAAGTCAGTTTGGGATGGGATGTTGCTGGTGAGCAGCTAAATGCTGTAAGCATTAAATAAACAGATTATGTCTACAGCTTACTTACTCAGCAGCACTGAAGTCCCAGCTTCATGGAACAAAGATTCCTAATAAGGCAGAAAACTGTCATTTCCTAAGTACTTTTTTTGTGGTCTAGATCATAGTACGTTGCCCACCACTGTGCAGGGGTTTCAGCTAAACCTTCCTCTCCTAACCAACTTGGGGATATATAAAGAGAAGGCTGGTTTTCGATGGTGTTTGCAGGTGTTGCAATATAATACGGAGTACTGTCAACCAGCTTTGAAAAGCTGAGGTAAAAAATGGATCGAAATGCCAAATTTATCATTATAATAGTACCGAATGAAAGTTTCATTATAGTTTCAAAATTTCTCCACTGCAAAACTGCATGCTCCTTTCAAAGAGGCTGCCTCACCCTGAAGTTGGTTTGAACATTTTAATTTTAACTGATAACCCAGACTCAGTTTTTCCCATCAAGTTTTTCCCTTCAAGCTCTAGGTGCTTGAAGTCAGAACCACACCTGGGCTACCATTAACACCACAGCCAGAAAATACACAATGTTACTGGCTCGGTGGGCTTAAGTCCATTCTTAGTCCCACTATTTACCCTGCGGGGCTTTCAAATAGAGAAAAAAATATTAAGGAACATGTCATCTCATTATATGGGAAAATAAATGGGACTAGATAGTAGCTGTACTTTGCCTGGAGGAGGAGAAGGAAGGGAAGTCATACTATCAGATTCAAGGAAACTTTGTCTCAGACAAGGTAAAACTGGCAAAGAAAAGGAGATAATCCTATTGTTAGACTCCTATCTGTCATGCCTTTATTATGTGAGCAATGTATACGTTCCTGGTACAGACAGACAGACTTGTCCTGAAAACAATTTGGTAGCTCTGCAGTCTCTTGTACACTAACCATATGCTGTGCATGTTGTATGAAGAGGGAGATAACATCTACAAGAATTGTGTGAAGACTCCCTGATGCATGTAAGGTACTACTAGACTTTTGCGTTTTAAATATTTTTACTGGTATTTGTTACCTAATTCTACAGTATATTTATTTGTGGGTTTTTTATTGCATGATTAATTTTGCAGCTGTTGCAGAAAAAATCCATTTATTTTGTTTTTTGCTTCCTCCTAGATCCCTGTTCCAAATCTTATTTCATTTGCTGAAGCTCTTGAAGTTGGTTACAGCAAATACAAAAATCCGTATCACAATTTGATCCATGCAGCTGATGTTACTCAAACTGTGCATTACATAATGATTCATACTGGTATCATGGTAAGAAATACTGCAAAGTTCAGTTTACTTCATTTCTCAGACTCTGCTGTTTTGGTTAAATGTATACATGTGTCTTTTCTTAAAGAAAAAGCTCCCTTGAAAATTGTGTGGAGAGAGATTTCAAACTACCCTTCAGGCTGTGAACTTTATGTTATTTTAAAAGTTCTTCCAGGCTGGAACTCTCCTAATGCAGAGGAAAAAAAGGAGAAAAATAAGAGAAGAAAAATCCTCCTTAAATTCTTTTTGCTTTTCATTGCCTGGGTTTGGGTATTATATATCATACATCATACTAAAAGAGATACATTTGCAGGAGTGGGCAGGTGAGAATTCTTCACTTCCACATCAGAGCCTGGGAGGTGTGATCAGGCAAGGAAGCTTTAGTATCTGTTGAGGTCCTGGCCATTGAAAGATATACTGGATTGGTGCAGGCTTACTCAAATACTCAGCAGTTGCTTTTTCTTTTACTTTCCAACCTTATTTAGGACTGCTCTTGCATACTGTATGTACCTGTAGTAGGCAGGAAATTGCATTTGCCTTGCACCATTGCAATATCCCAATATTTTTTAGTATTTTCTTTGGGAACTGAAGTGAGTCTGTGCAAGCATTTTTACTCTAAATACTTTTCTTAGATTTAATAACCAGCGGTGGGAATGTCCTCGCTATCCACTTGCTAGGCAAAAGTAAATACTGACTTAAAAGCAAACGGACATCTCTGTCAATGGCATTTGGATGATTTGTGTTCACTATAAATGCACTTTAAAAAAAAAAAAAAAAAAAGAAAAAGGTGGGACATGACCGTGTCTGGTTTCTGTTTGCAGAGCCATGAAACAATTTGGTAAGATTTTTGGAATGGAAGATTTCAGGGCTGTCTAGATGTTTGTGCTCCAATATATACACAATAAATGACAGTCATTCACTTTTGTTAAGCCTTTTCTCACTGAAAGCTTTGCCATTTGTTTCAGTGGAGGCAAGAACAAGTCCGTAGGCATTGCAGTGTTTGATTCTACTGTTTGAAGGAAGTGTTTTGCTTCTAGGCATCAATTTTTTAAAGCTACATTTTAACACAAGTACTACTTGTAGAGTGAAGCCTGAGGTCTTCACCAGCCACGATTCCTTTTCACATAGAGATGTTTCCTTGAGAAAGGACTTCCGTATCAGACTGAAGCATAGGCTGGACAGCACTTGCCAAGATGACTCCAAACCAAAGTTGTTGTGTACGATGTTCACTTATCAAAATAATATTTGAATAAAAGGAAAAAGAGATTAGATCACGGTTCCTATCCTGCCCTTGTCTTTTGCTGTAAGATCACTTGCAAGCGTTAAGTGATGTGAGACATGTCTTTGTTGCAGGTATACACCTGGATCAGCAACTTAACAGGGAGGAAAATCCCTTTGTTGTATTACACATTATAAACATCCCTTTGGCCCATTGTAACTGTGCCCCCCCTGCTTCAAAAAAGACAATAGCATCCAGATTTTCTTTGTGATGCCAGGACAAGGTTCCAACTTCCAGAGCTGTCCTAGTCAGTTTGGGATGTTTAGCCATTGATTAAACAACTTTGCAACACACTTTGTGTATCTGTGAACGCTGAATGCAGGAACATGTATTTGAATATCCGCTATTCCACCAGGTGCACAGGGGAATGAGAAGGCCTCTCCAACTCGTGTTACATATTAGCATCTTAACCTTGCAACTGCACTTTGATGTGATTTGAGCAACTATTTTCAGAAAAGCTTAGACTTTATTGCTGTTACTTTGCTGTAAAACCTCATTAATGTTGCAATGCTGCTACAAAATATTCCTATAAAATTAGGGTAGGTTTTAAATATTCACATTTGAATTGCTGAATTATGATATTGGAAGGTTCTTGGAAAGATATCTAACTAGGACAACACTTAGTCAAGAGTGCCTTCAAACAGATGTAGCTTGCCAGGCAGAAGGAGCATTTATAGAAATCAGCGTTTGAAAGAAGCCTAGTGATTCTGCAGCTTGCAAAGTGTTTCTGTCCCAAAATGTCATTTGCAGTTTGAGAACACATCAGTATCACACAAATGTGCTATTTAACTTGTTGGGGTTTTTTTCCAGTTGCCTGGTTAACCCTACAGAATCCTACAGAATAATAATTTCAAGTTTGCTTCTCAAGCTAAGAGTTTTAAAGCATATGCATTGTAATGCCTCTTTTAACTCTGCTGTATCTTCTAACAAATAGCTGGATTGGAGTCAATTTGATGCAATTCTGTATCAAATTCCTGTGTGTTTTTTGCAGATTGGCATGTGATTTGAAGTCCTTGTGCTTTCATTTTCTATCAGTTTCAAAGAACTGATAGAGACTCAGAAATCTTGCAAAGAGTCGCTGTCTTCCTTGTTCACTTCTCAAAGACATACTGAAGCAAATGTTTCAAAAAGCTGGGTTTTAGAAAATCCTTTTCATGATTCCTGTTGTTGAGGTCATACATTTTGTATCTTTTATAGGCACCTGGAAAACAGACATATTTCAGCATTTGGCTTGTCACAGTTTATGCTTCTCCACAAGACTTTAGAGAGATTATAGCGAAGACTAACGCATATTCAGAGTCACATTTAAAGAAACGAAATCATCATTGTGTTTTCCAGAAGTCTATCTTAAGAAACCAGATCCAGCCACCTCACATCAATGTGTTAGAAAGTTAGATATCACAGATGGCACACAATCTATTAACCTTCCCAAGAGATTAAATCCCAGATGATATGACTGAAATACATAACTCAAGTTCACATTTATGAAGTCTTCATTTTTATAAAGATTTAAGAATACAAGTCCCAGGGAATACATCTTGTAAAGAACTTTTGAGTCATCGATCATCTTCCCACCATGCCTTTTCTCCTCCCACGTACCTGTATTACTCAAACTAAAGGAAAAAATGTCTTACTGTCAATAAGTGCATTGTGAGACTTCCTTTCTTACTCATTTTTTAATCCATGATTGTTTAAAAAAAAAAGTTTGAACCAGAGTTCATGAAAAGTAGAACTGTATCTATTTACATTAAGCATATTTATAGTACTGGAAAACATCTTTCGATAGAAGAGATCTTTTCCAATAGGTGTTACACCTGCATGGCATAGTATCTTCCAGGAGGGAAGCAGGTTCCAGCTCTTTGCAGTCTTGCAGACCTCCAGATACCTGCTTTTCCCTCTTCCTTTGAGAAAAACACTGTCTCTTTTAAGAGCTTTCCTCTGCTTCCTTAGAAATCCTTTAGCTATAGTAGTTCTCTGATTCTATCATTTGAATACTAATCTGAATTTTGACTGTACAGCTATAGTCTCTAGAATGCTTGCTCTCTCGTAGTACCGTATGAAGTTTCTGTGTAGCCCATAGACATTGTTTGTAATGAATGCTCCTCTACGTATAAACGCATTATCTAGCAACTATTTTGGTTACTAAAAAAGCTGATCTTTGAAAAGGCATCTTAAGGAAAAAGTTTATGATTAGCTTTAGTTACTAATAATTTCTGGGTTTCTATTCTACTTGGTATGTTGAAAACATTGTGAAAGCCAGGACTGGTCATGGCCTGTTTCTTGTGACACACGATGCGATGAAGGTCATGATTTCCATTTTTAGAACTGCTTACAGTACATTCTCATTCCTCTGTTGTGACCTTTTTAAATCTATACTGCTTCACCAACAGTCAGTACTTGTTGTTCCTCAGCAGTCTTATTTTGTCGCTGAATGACCTATTTAATTATTCTCACATTACTTGCGAATCTTGACTGTTTTCTTTCTTCTTTGAAAGAAGTACCACTATTGGCAGCTCATACTACTTCTGGCAGCTCACACATCTTATATCCATTCATACACATGTATGTGAATATATAGGTGCATAAGGATGAGGTCATCCTTCGATCCTTTAGTACAGAAGCTTACTTCTACACTAAAAAAATCTGAAATATGTATGGAAAGGCTTGACTGGTATTTGACTTAACCAGTCCTGTGACTGGAGGGGTTAAATATCATATGATTTTTCTACCCCCATTTTTAGATGGAGTAAATTTTCTCCTGAAGGGTGATTTATCATTCAAGGAATAGAACTTGAAAGGTAAAATAACAGAGGTTATTTTACAAACCGACTGACACAGAACAGCCTCAATTAGCAAAAGGTATAAAAGTGCACGAAACTCTAGGGTCTGCATTATTTTGTATACATGACCTGTATTACCTTTTGTTCTGTGTGACTGTGTACTAGCCTTATGCACGCCTTTTTTTGCATTAGTACAAAGTATGATAAAATTTAGAACAGAAAAAACTCCCATGAGCTTCATTTTAGTGCTATATATACTGATAAAATATAGTTAATAGTGATGTTGTACCTCGAATTTATTATGAACTGTATATATTATTCACTAAAAGAGAAATTATAAATTCTTAACTTCATATCGAATTTTTAGGTAAATATACCGTAATTTGGCAAGTGCCATGCATGGGCTAGCAGATTAGATGCTTCCTATATAAAACAGCTACAAAGTATACCATATAATTATCTTAATAACTTCTTATGGTTTTGGCTGCCAATATTTACTTTGCTAGTGACCATAAGGATGTTACCTTGGTCTTAGAGAAATCATAAGTACAAGGAGTTATTTTACTCTATAATACTGAAGTGTTATGAATATATAGTTACCTGGAATAAGATAAGAATGAAGTTTACTTAAGGTGAAGATAATGCAAAACATTTCTAGTATGGTAGTGTTTAATCTGAATTAGGCTATTATAGAAAATATGACTAAGATTTGTTTTTCATTTACCAGCACTGGCTCACAGAACTGGAAATTTTAGCAATGATCTTTGCAGCTGCCATCCATGATTATGAACATACTGGGACCACAAACAATTTTCATATTCAGACAAGGTAAGCGGAGTGGTCTCTTCAGTGTCATATTTGGGCGTATCTCCACATTGCATCTGGTATTTGCTGTTCATTATTCTGAACTGTTTCATACCTCTCACTGACACAGCCAGGAAGTAGCCAGGTCATTCCTGACCTTACAAATTCCTTCCGTGACCTCTGTACAGTTAATGGGACTGCTCACATGAACAAAGACAGTATGGAAGACTAAGGAGTTAGCTCCATAGTGTTTGAAATCATGATATTTTGCAGCTGATATGTCGAAAGAGATTTCAAAAAGATTCAGGACATGGACTTAAAAACCCCTCACCCCTCTATTTGCTCAGTTGAATTCTGATACTTTTGACTCAAAAATTTCTTCCACAGTGTCCCCAGAATAATACCACTTGGCTTTCAGCAATGTGTCTGCACTTCAGGTGCTACATGTTGTTTCAAGTTGTGTATTAAACTTACAAGGTCCTACTACAGAGGGAGAAACCTTGAAGAACAGCTTTAGAAATCCTTCTAAAAAGTCCTCTCCTAGCATGTTTTAACAGCATCTGCAGTAATTACCAAAAAGAAATCTGGAAAGAAATCCAGTTTGAAAGTTGGGCTAACTGTATTCTCATGCAGGCGCAGCGTGTCATCCTAGCCTCTGGTCCAGAACAACAGCATATACCTCTCTCCCTTAAAATATTTTCAGCTTATTGAAGGAAAACACTGACCAATCCATTACTGGGTGATAAATGGTACACCTCATACTTAGCCTAGTACAAAGCATCTTTTTGTTCTCTGACGCTAGACTATACTTTGTTTTTAGTATCCTCAGTTGAGGAGTCTGCTTTACCTGCTCTTGAAAAAAGAATTTCAGCAAAGCACTGGCATATTGTAACAAAACAGCTCTGTGCTAGAAATACTACTATTTTTGAACAGAAGCATCCTCACGTTCACCTACACAGATAAAGTGCCCAATGGTTACGTTTAAATTAAATCCATAACATACTTGTGCCCCGAGATGTGCCCTTCAATAATGAACAAATTCTAGATCTGCAACTAAAATAAAGACATAATTCTCTTCTCCCTCAGCATAGTCTGGCTAAAAATAAACTTCAGTTTGTTGTTCCAAGTTTATATTACTTTTCTATTTTTGTCCTTAATATTTCACTCTGAAGTATTGTAAAAGTGGAAAATTAATTAAGCTCTTAGCCTTTAAATTTTACTTGGACATACTTGCAAACAGGTATTTGTTTTGTGACTGAGCTCATTATTCCCTCCTAGTGGAACCTGGTCCTGATGTGGCTTCCCAGGGCTGTGATTTCATGCTTTCTTGCCTGAGAAAAGCTGATGAAATGGCTGTCATAGTCATAGCAAATCTTAGCATTGTTTAAAACTAGCCATAAGTAGCTTTATGAGTCAAAGTGTGCTTCATAAACGTGTGATTGGCAAATCACAGATTTTCACATTATGTTAGTATGATAATGGATGTAAACATATTCATTATTTAGGTAGGTTATGGTTTGTTCCCTCTAAATAAAGTTTCCAATTTTAATTTTTTAGATTCCTTGGTATCATATCTGGTGGTATCATGTGGCTGGTTACACTGAATATATACTATTGCTCAACAGAACAAGAGGTTGAATTTACCTTATTAATGTCATAGTAAGCTGCGCTGCTACATCATCACACCTTTCTTCTAGTACAGACTTTTCAGTTAACCAAATTGAAATACTCGGGAATAGTTTTGTCAGAACAGAAGTGTAGCAGAGAGGGGAGACCCAAGGTTGCTTAGCAAGCCAACTCATGTCTTGGTGAAAAAAATTCCTCAAGAATTAATGAAGTTTGAAACTACATATGATAAATCAAAATTTGTGAAAATCTGTATGTAATTTTGGTATTGTGGGTTAGTCTTTAATTAACGGGGAAAAGATACTGTCGAGGGTGCTAATGTTATGGTAAGGGTCTGGCGTTAGGAAGCACTTGAATGTAATCAAATTTCAGCTTAGCATCTCTTCCATTCCTTTGTTATGAGGCTCAAGGTTTGGCTGTTTTTCTGACAAAAGATGGCATTCATTTAAAACATAGGAATTTGAAGTTTTAAAATGTTTTATTATTTACAGCTCCTTCTGATTATGAGTGACATGGGCCAAAGCACCTCTCTCAGAACAGGGGTAGTAACTTCTTAATACCCATGCTATGTCTGGAGCCCCCTCTGTTGGTGAATACATTGCATTTTAAATGGTCGTATGGCCAAAGACAACTCTCGAGTAGCCTAATTAGAGCACTTCTGTGGCTCTACAATCCTATCTACAGTCAAGAAACTCAAGATCTCCTCATAAATTTTCATCAGTTATATAAATAAAACATTACAGATTTAAAAGTATAACTTTCCCACAAACAGTATATACAATGGTATAATGATTTTTTTAAATGCATTTAGGATGGAAAATTTATCAGTATTTACAATAGGAACAAATAAACATAGTTTGATATATAGTCAGTAGTTCTCATAGAGAATGCACAGTCCTACTTTCCCCAGTGCCATCATCAGGATGCTATTGCAAATTCTGCCTTTTTCTTTTAACACTAGGTCAGATGTTGCAATATTATACAATGATCGTTCTGTTCTTGAAAATCATCATGTAAGTGCTGCTTATAGACTCATGCAAGAAGAAGAGATGAACATCCTGGCAAATTTAACCAAAGATGACTGGAGGTAAGACCTACTGTGACATTCAAACTTAATTTCAGTATTTAAAAATAGTAAAAAACACGGGGCCTTCCCTGTAGAGTCTATTTTAAGAGTTCAAATTACAGGAAGAAACTTTGGTGCTGGAAAGCGTAATGGTTATTTAGAGTTTAGGGAAAGCTGCTGTGGTGTAAAGAAGTACTGTTTGGGAGACTCCGTATAATTTTCCAAGTGAGGTTGTGCATTTATGAGGCACAGTGTTGGACTGCGTGGACAGTGTCTTAGATGAGATGGCTCTTCATCCATCTCAAACCACATCAAAGCCGTCATCAAAACCACCGTGCTGCCCCTTTTGATCTGGGTTACCTTTGTCTAACAGTGGGTTAAAACCTCAATGCAGAGTCACGCTCTGCTGCTAGCTTGAGCACTACTGCCTTTGGGACTTCTGCTGTGCAACGTAGCACAGCATAGTCACATCTTGATTAAGCATTAAAAAATTAGTTATCTGCAGGGTCCAAAAATAATGAAGACTCAGAAGCGCTACAGAAATATCTTTTTTTTATTATTATTCTTAATTTTAGTGTAATTCCTGAGGAAAATTTGGCCAGCTAAAAGAATCAGGTTCATAATTGATATGTCACAAATATTAAGACCTGTAAGACCAAAATGAACAAGTGTTAGAGATAACACTTTCTCCATTATTAGAAAGGACATGATATTTTTGTATATCTTTGATCGCAACATATAGCACTTAAAATGAGTCTTCTGTGTGTTTCTGTAAACATAGCTATTATTCAACATTCCTAAAAAGAACTTTTATATAGGAGGACTGTGAAGTCAGAGGGAGATGTTCTGCTTCCAGGAACGAGTCCCGCTGTGAATGATGCCACCATGAATAACAAAGCTATACGCTGCTTTAACTTATATTTTCACAAAACTATACATTTATGAAGGAATACGTGAATGTCAGATCAAATTATGCTGTGTGTATATTTAAAAATGAAGGACTGTTTTACATGGTACAGTTACATGATTTTACTTATCTACATCATCAGAACGCCCCTAAATAAAGCATTTATTGAATGTAAGTCCGCTGACCCTTTTGGTTTTCAATTCATTATTTTTCTGTAGCTACTCCAAAACCCTTAATATTAAAACATTTTTAATTTTTTATTTAGTACAAAGTGAGAGAGGAAGTATACGCTTTTTAATTCTTACAAAATAGTTTTTCTCTGAGGATACTGATCTGGATTTAGTTATCATAAGGTTTGTGTTGTAAATTTAGTTCCGGAGAAAGATCTCTGGAAGTATCACACAATCACAGATTGTAAACTTCAGCAATAATTGTCATATACACCTAGATTTTCACTGCCAACGTGAGTCAGCCTTGCTCTGCTTGGAACTGTTTTGGGCCTGATAGTTTCGGGGCTGATAGGTCTCTCTGACCTTATTTTCGCTTGTCCTAGCTATTGAGTATGGAGAAAGTGATTGTGCTGGTAGACAGCCATCAGAGGCTGGTATTCTGTCTTTTAAAACCATCATTGTAGAGAGGTAATGATTTTCAAATCTTCAAACTTGTTGCCTTGAGTCTGTTTTTTTGAAGTGGTGGTGTTTCATATTGTGTCCTATCAGAGGATGCTTCCAGGTAGAAAGGAGCAGATCTTCTTCAGTTGAATTTCAGTTCAGGACTGGATGAAGGATGACCTGAAGGCACTTACGTGCTTCCCCAGTCCTGGCTCCTTCATCACTGGAGACCACCATAAAGGAGCTTAGTTTGGGAATCCTTGCAGCAACATGCAGTTGCTCCAGCTGACAGAAATCTGGCTGCCAGCTAGTGTAGTGCACCCAAGTGGTTCCCTTTTGTTGTGTCACTGGGGAAAAGAGTGATAGGATGGAAACTCCTGTGAAAGAAAATATTTCTCAATGGAAAGAGGAGCATATGGTTTCCAGGTGTGACACGTATGTGCATTGTTCCGATGGACTGCAACAGAATAAAGGGAGGAACGTGATAGATTGCCTTCACATTTCTGAAGCACGCTCTTCTCTGCATTGCTCAGTCGTGGTCTTCCCACAGTTCTTTTTCTTTATATTATGGACCCTTTGCTCTAACTTCCGTTGTATTTAATTTCTCTGTGGTGTTTGAACCTGTGATAAACTACCATGTTTCTTCAGAAGTTGCTCAATCACAGGCTAGGTGTGTTTGCTTTTCAATCTTCTCTTGCTGTAACCCAATTTTGATTTCCTGGAGGATTTTATTTTAGTTTTGTGAATTTTGTTTGTATACAGTGGTTGCACAGATCCAGTCCACAATTATATGCAGCCAGTTTGAAGTTGGTAGGATTTGGCAACCAGAGAAAATAGAATTTATGGTCTCTTGTTGGGGCTATTCAGAACAAATTAGAAGAGATGTATGAACTGACTAATAAGCTGCAGCAACTAAATGAGTACACTCAGTTCCATGTTTTCTCACTTAGCTAGGCAATTACAGTCTGTACTTTCAAACAACTGGTAACTTCCAAAGTGCCAGTCTGAGAACCTGCACCACCTGTTGAAGTCTGATCCTGAATTTAGAGGGTCAGTCATGGAAATGATGGTTTCCTGGTATTCGTTTCTAATATCCAAAAATACCCGTTACCCTGTCATCAGATACAGTTGCTCATTGGTGTAATGACAGATCCGTTAGCCACTCGACAGAGGCTCTTCAATTTCCTAGGTATTACTAGAGTGAACTTCTTGGATCTATACTGAAATTCGTGCTGTTAGACTAACAGTTTTGAAGTTTGCACTGACTCAAATTGGCAGTAAATTGAAATTATAATTTGTTCAACTTTCTAATGTACGTCCTGGCACTGATTAATTTCTCTACTACTGTCAGATCTGTTTTCTTGAGTTGCAGCAATTTCATTTTTTGAAAGTTTAATACCCCTGCCTATTTAAACTGTGGTTCTGCTAATTATTTCAGCGAGTTGAAGCAAAATGACTGAGAGTGACTTTATAGTACTACATTTTCTTTTCTACATGTTAACGTTAAGAAGATAAATGCAATAATAAACTGTCAGCTTCAATTAAGTTTAAAACATAGGGTTTGGGTCTGAGCAGGAAACACTGCCAGCATTCTGATGAAGATGTCCTTTGTGGATAACACATGTGACATTCATAGTTATTTTTCACTCTTTTCTCAACTCCGAAAATATATTCCAGTATTCCATGTTGTCTTGTTTCTCCCACTTAGCATCCCTAAATAACTAAGGAGGGATCCCTTTTTGTCCCCATTTCTCCTTTGATTTACCAGGCTTCTGGTGTTCTAGCACCCCATGTGTCACGTCAACAGTTATAGGTTGTCAGGTGGTATTAATGTCTCAAATCATTCCGGTCATAAGGCATACAATGATATATTGCCTGATTATATAAAAAACACTAACAAAACAATATACATTATATACACTGCATAATGAACAGCTTTTCTTTCACAAATTCACTTGGGAGTCTTCTGTCTGAGAAAGCAAGATTGCTCTAACTTGCAAGATGGACCTTTTGTCTTCAGTTTGCAACTTGTTTTTACTCTTATAAAGTTTGTACTTTACTCTTAAACTTTACTCTACTTAAAAACAAGTTTTGCTCTTGTTTTTAGCCTGTTCCTGCATTTTTTCATTAGTTTCAAGCTGACTAAATGTCTTTGTCACAGACAAATCCAGGTAAAGCTGGTTTCTGTTTATTGGTTAACTACTTTTCCGAGAAATTCATGTGCTACTCCTCGTCTCTTGTTTATTACAGCATTATTCATGTCATTTTTTCACATCATCTTGCATCTGTTTTTTATAATATCCTATCCATAGGATGTATGGATATAGGAGGGTTAAGAAAGGATGACAGCACAGGACATGACAGTTTACTTAAGAAAAATGGAGATTATATACTCAAAACCAGTGATCTTCCAATTGTGGGCCCCAAAAAAATGCTGTGCGCTGTATGTGAGTACTGTTACCACTTCCCATCATAGAACTAAAGACGACAACACCTACGTATCTTTTTTTCCATGGCAGCACGAGCAATGCTAACTGTATTATCTTGATGCCTGTAGCTGTGGACCACTTAATGAAGTGGGCAGAGATTTCTGTCCAGGAGTTACCTATGAGACTGGCTGAGCTCTCCTTCAATATGAAAGTTGAGATGGTCTTTTTTCCCTGGGAAACAAGTTGGGAATGGCTTAAGTCCAAGAATAACTTTCTGAGCAAGGGCAGTAGACTGAGCATTCGTAGCTGTAATAGAGATTTATTTAACATTTCCCCATCAGTTCTCATGTTTCTACCCTTCTGTTGATGATGGATGGGGGTGCAGGCAGGAAACAACTGCAGATTATAGGTGGAGAGCCTCTCCTTTGCTGCTAGGCAGCTTTTTAGGGACCTGAAATCTTCACAAGTGTGTGAGGAGGACAGTGCTACATTGTTTGATCCTTATTCCGGTGATGGAGCTAAGAATTAGGGTTTGTCTGCTGCCATGACAGTGTGAGTAAACTGGAAGTAGCATTTTGCTTCTCTGTGTGTCTTTTGTAGTAGGGCTGAGCTTATTTCTGATTACTCTTAAAAGTTCAGACATGGGAACGTTCCTAGGAAGATCTCCCATAGAAAGGAGAAGTGATAATTATTTCAGTCTTACAAACAACAGGGTTTTATGACGCAGAGCCCTCAGTTTTCATGCAGTGTTAGCTGTTTGGTTTTTTTGTGGGTTTTTTTTCCCCCAATGAGTTTGGCTGTGTTTGAAGGATACAGTTTCAAAGCAATGTGGAGGAGGAACAGTTGGGATGAAAATTAATTAGTATCTTATTATGAGGTCAGATAAGGTAAAGCATTTTCTAAACGCAAGTTGCTATGGCTGCATATTATTGAGTGGAAGTGAGAGGATCGAGTCTTTATCCAGTTACATCAAAGCAAATCAGGAATAAATACACCAAAAAACCAATGAGGAGTATCAGCTTAAACATGCAATTAATTTGGCTCAAAAGCAGTCTTGATAGTTTTTATAACAAACTATTCTAGCAGCCCTACAGAAAAGTGCAATTTACCCATTTAAAACATAGTCCTTTGAAAAAACTGCATTGTTAAGTAAATCAAAGATATGAATACGATATGAAAGATCAGAGAGAATGACAACAGTAGGATTCTACTGTTGTAATTGGTACGTGGACATCCTTAAGATTGTGGATGTGCTCATGAAGACATATGCTACATAATCAAAGATTTAATGTGGTGAATTGTCCCTGATATACCTGTAAGCAACACTAGCACATAAATCCTCCTAGGCCATTTAAAAAGCATGTAAAAAAAGACCCAGTAGACTCCTACATGGTCTATATACAATCTGTCTACATTAAGGAAACAGAATTTTCCAAATCATTAATTATTGTTGACAAAATTAATGTACTTTCATATACGATAAGAATTTATACACATTCTTACATGATTCATGTTTTACTATTTTTATATTCATTTAATAGAAAGCTGATGGACAAGCTAACATCTCTGACCATAATACAAAGATATAGATAAATTATAAATCTCAAACTTGTTCTGATTCATGAAAGAGGCATTAAGGTATTTTTGAGATGAGTGCTAGTTTGTCATAATATTCGTCTATTGGTGTAATGTTGACAGTGTTTCAGATCTCTTGCTCTTCTGAGTGTTTTCACAGCCTTCTTCCTAAATTCAGTGTTATGTGTGCTCTGCACTAATATGAGGGTGGTAATAAAAGACACAAATTTATCCTCTTGTGTGGTGGTAAGCCCAGAGACCAACTGTTTTTTTTAATACTCTACTGCTGGAAAAATAAGGAAATACTTACAATGGGTGACAGAACTGCATGTAATTTTAGTTTTTACACTAGAAAAGATGAATTTCAAAACAGTGTGACTCTGAAATAATGATTGCAGAGTGCATTTTCTGAAGTACATTTCTTTCACAGAATCCCTTTAGGATACAACATTCAAGTTGTTAATAATTTATTTAAATGCTTTTTAAAACGTAATAAACCGCGTGATGTTGTTTAGAAAGTTATAAAGTAACAAGTACTGCTTAAACAAATGTACCACACATAGAATAAATGAATTGTAATCAAGTCATTTTGCTTTTAATTATTCTTAGGGAGTTGCGTAGCTTGGTCATTGAAATGGTCTTGTCTACAGATATGTCGGGTCATTTTCAACAAATTAAAACGATGCGACATACCCTGCAGCAGACAGAAGGGTAGGTTATTTTCCATTCTGTTCATTATCTATAGTCTTTCAACGAGCTCATGTACAAGAAAAGAATTTAAATAGTTGCTTTTGTTTTGAGATAATTGGAGCGTGTCCTTGAATTGACAGGGTAGACAAAGCCAAAGCCATGTCTTTGATTCTACATGCAGCAGACATAAGCCATCCAGCAAAATCCTGGGAACTGCACTACCGGTGGACCATGGCCCTGATGGAAGAATTTTTTCGACAGGTGCCATTTTTAAAATCTTTTAATAGATCTAGTTCAAGAAGCAATGGTTACACAATTAAGTCTTTTCGTAAGTCTACCAGCAAGGGTGCTGTTGGTTGTGATTGACAATGATAGTCAGGAGCATATATTCCGTACTCTTCATACCACTGACATTAATTCAACTTTTATGTGCATGAATAAGATGAAATTGTTATAGCTCTATATCTCTTTCAGCTGATACCAGTATTCTGAGTGTTGTAGCATTTTTTTTTGTTTCAATAATAATATAACTTGTCAAGCTGTTTTCATTCTGTAGACAGAGATTTATATATGCTTTGAGTTAAAAAGAAGTACCAGCAGGGTAGGATGAAGGACTTGAAAATAGGAAGAATTCATGTTCAGCAAAGAAGGCAAAAAGTTAGTCTCCATTTCACATTTCAGAGAGCCTTCCTATTTCTTTTCCTTGCCAGTGCTTGCCATGCATATACCACATAGATATGAAGGTTTTGCTTTCATAACAGCCTGATCCAAAGCCAGAGGATAGACAGTATCATCCTGTTAATGCTGTGGCCATATATCCTAAAACAAAAATGAAGACACACCTTTGTGAAAGTCTTTTCACTTCTGTGGGATACTGAATTCAAAGAGAAAGCCCAGTAGGTGTTGGTGTAACTGCTGTCATTTTTTTACTCACCTCAGAAGGTGAAAAAAAAAAAACATTTCTCCAAAGGGGGAATACTCTCCCTGTAATGCATATTGGTGACCATTGCACATTTTTAACATAACAGTTACTGAAGTACAATTGATAACAAAAATCCAGTGTAGGTATTACACAGTTCCTACAGTCATACACAGGTTTTTAAAATGGTTAATACAGATAACGGAGCAGTGGAACAGTGTATGTCTTGCTCATCGTGATTATAATTTTTTGCTATATGCTGGCATTTTCAAATCAGTTGGGTAGTACTGGAAAAACGGGTCAGAGAATAAAGAAATGAGTATGTCAAACCATGACGTTGTTAGGCCCGTCTGCCCTAGAAGATTCTTGCTTGCTTCCTAGATGTTCTTTATATGAATTCACAGTAGGGAGCATCAGGACATCCTTGACTCTGGGCTTTGCACTGGGGAGACAGAATGGAGACCTGATGCCTTAATCTAAATAATGAACGGACTAAGTTTTGTGGAAATACTGAGTAGAGTCATGAGTTTGTGTCTACTTCTGTAAATGGAAATGATGAGGATTTTGAACTTGAGAGGAAAAAGGAGGAACAGATTACCCCAGATATATATTACTTGAAAAGGTCAGAAATGACCAACTGTAAAAACATTTTAGACACAGAGAGAAGACTAGACAGAGCCCCTGGGACAGTGAGGCAATGTATCCAGTCAAGTGGATGTAACATTAGTAATAAACAGTACCACACTGGTTGTTGAGTGCATAGGATCAGCTAATGTTTTAGTTATTCCTTTATCCTTTCATTAGAAGCAACTGGATCCCAAATAAGCTGCTCAAAGACTTGGAAAGGCATTTAACAATAGAATCAAATCACCATGTATCTGTTTCTGCAACTCAGCAGTATAAAATGTGAAAGTCTCTTAGGCTGTAGAGGAGCGTGCAAGGAACTGAATCCTTCTTTATACATACTACCAAGAACAGCGTGTATGGAGTAGTTCCAACACATTTAAAGTGTAATGAAGTAACTGTACATGTATAAATGCATTGAGCAGGGCAGACACAGTAGGTTGCCTGCTTCCTAGATGCACTAGCTTGGCTGTGCATCCTCTGGTCTGTTGATCTGAGCATGTGTGGTGGAAATCTCTGGGATTTCCAAATCTGTGTCAGCCAAGATGAAGTAGTCCAAAAGTATACAAAACCCACTAATTCCTCCTCTTCTTTTCTTTAAAAACAGTAATTCAATTACTTTTACTGCCCTACAGGAAAAAGCAGCAGAGCCTGAAACTGCTGATGCAAAAACTATGCTTTAACAGGCAGCTTTCAAAGTAGTGAGCACCAGCAAAAAGTGAACATTCACCTAGACAAAAAACTTTGTTAACTGCAGCTAATGGTTAAAGTATGTGCCAGTGTTAAGTTCAGGGAAAAAGCCAAACAGCACTTAAGTTTAAAAGCAACAGCTACAGAAAGTGTGTTATAATGCCAAGGAAAATCTGAGCTACTTGTTTAAAATAGAAATACACCCATCCAGCTCAAAACCTTAAAAATAAAGAAATACATGGTTCAAGTCACTCAAAGAAGTATCACAGCTCCTATGGCATTCTGCTCTCAGTCTGAATAGATCCAAAAAGCACAAAAAGAGAATTTGTCCAGTGAGTTCAGCACCTGGGCAATGAATTTTTTTTTCCTGTTTTGATCTTTATCTTGATTTTAAATCTCATTAAATTCTAGTGATCCGTTTAATATCAATGTTGTGTGCATTTTTGCAATTTGCAATAGACTTAAACTTTTATGACATTTAAGAATTAATTATGTATTATATTAATTGAAAAGTAATTCATAATCGGGTAGAGAGCTGCTTGAAAGCAGTAAAAAATTCAAGCTGATTCTTAGTGCGATTTTCTCTTTTTTAATACCTACTTAAGGGAAGATTACAAAATTAACATTGCATTAGAAATCCTGCATTCAACAATGGCTGAAATTGTTAGAAATATCCCAGTTTATATTATATCACAATCTGGCTCTTGCATTTACACAGAGATCCCACTAGCACTGCTCCTAGCAGTAAGTGTTCATGTGTTCTCCTACGCTCTGAAGTCAAATTACGAACACTTGAGCATAGAATTTAAAGGTCATAGTGATAAAACCCTCCAATTCTACATGAAACACAATCTGCAAGCTGTATCTGTTCCTGTGGCTGAAGTGGTTTGATCGGTATTATAGTTCTAAACTTTTCCCGAATCCAGTTCAATAGTATATGACAAAAAGACTACAGAAGGTTGATACTGCACCCTTCATCCATCAGATTCTGATGAGATCTTTGGGAAAATGTTACATTTCATGTACCACTCTCCACTGAATGTTCATGAAACAGCACTCTCCATGACTAATGTAACATGTGGAGCCATTTTACTTGAAAGACTTAAGGTAAATATAATGTCAGTGCATCTGGGGGCCAGGTTTGTCCAGCAACACAAATGATAGCCTCCTTTGAAAGATATCTCTTCAGGGTTTTTTGTGCCACCACACTTTGCTTTTGAGCTTTTGCAAGTCGGTTGGTCTACCATGCTGAAAATGGAGGTAACACTCCCCTGTCTGTTAAGACTGCTATGACAAAAAACGTCTTTTAATATGTTAGGTGTTGAAATATTTTTAGAACTAGGTTGTACAAATCATCTTTGTAATGAAATTGAGCTTGGGCTTTTTTATGGCTTCAGCAGCAGAGAGACATGCCTGCTAGTGAGAATGAGGTCAAGTCAGATCATGCCCTGGACCTGTGTAAATCCATTGAAGAAATGTTACATGCTGGGTAGACCAATGTAATAGGAGGAAACACTTAGTGTTTGGCATACTATTACAAACGTGTCTAAATATCTCCAATCCCATTATACCTGGGGTCAGCAGGACTAAACTGTGAATATTGAAGGACTTCATGTATGTTAAATCTCATTGTCAGATGCCTTGCTCTTGAGGAGAACTTGCTTGCAGTAAGTTCCTTTATATGAAAATTGTCGAATACAAGTTAGAATTTTGACTTTTACTTTTCCTGAAAATTTAAATATAAATAATGACAGGGGTTTTGACTGTGGTGTGCTTTTATTTAGGAATATAAGTGAACAAAATAATCTGTTGAATAAATACTAAGAAAATTTAGAATCCTTTGTCTCTCTGCCCCTCTGTCAAATATGTGCTTATAACATTAAATGTTGTTGTTTGCAGGGAGACAAGGAGGCTGCTTTAGGTCTTCAATTTTCCCCACTCTGTGACCGCAAGTCTACTTTGGTAGCTCAGTCCCAAATAGGTAATGACAAGTTGTGTTTTTCTTTTTCTGGTATGTGTAGGAGCATGTAAAATCATTTGGACATTTCTTATACCCATTTTGAATGTTAAATATTACAAATGCCATCATATAGAAAGTATTTCTTTGCACCTATCTGTTTACCAAGCTCATATGCTTTTACAGCAGAGATGTGCTGGTCTCAGAAGAACATGAAGTAATTTCAGCATATGTGATGCCAAGGAGGGGTAGGAGAGGGATTAACCAAAGTATTGGACATGAGCCCAACTTTTACTGTACATACTTCAGAGTTTGGTAGGTCATGTCCTCAGACACAGTGACTCTTGCTCAAGAGCTCACAGGTCTGTCGCTACTACAATCTGAAAGCCTGGTACCGTTTTGTAGATGGATCTCAACTTAAAGCTAATTCATACATCGTATTTCTGGACTGCAGTTAAGACTGTCAGTGTGGCAGGGTAAAACTACACAGTCAAGCCTCCTTGGGTTGACAAGGACCACTGCATTTTGTTTGCATCAACCCTGATTGCATTTTGGTCAACAGTGGCCAAACTTCATCTTCCCATTTTCAGAAATGCAGATCTTGTCTCCCTCTATTCCCATTTCCATCAGCAGTAATAAGGAAATAAAAATTGGTAAAGATCACTGGAGCTAGTTCCCAGGAGATACCCTGGAAGCATACTGAGTAACGCAGTATGTCCTACCAACTGCTGTACCTTTTATGTGAGTGAACACAGTACTCGAGGAGAGATTCTATAGGTGACAGTGTCTTATCCTTGAATGGAAGCATGTCATCTTGTCTGATCTTGTCACTTAAAGTGTCCTTTATTCCATTTCACTGGGATTTGAAAGGCAATATGCTTGAGCGTCATACCAGCTGCAGGAGGGAAGCTGGATCCTAGGCTGAAGCACACACCTTTGTGCTGTGTGGCATGGTTAGAGTATTAAGACATCTGGAAAGCCATTGCTAACTCATGTTTTAGCTTTTTTTTTTTTTCCCCTGTTAAGTGCTCAGCTGAGAATAATGCTTCATTCTCTCACTGTGTCATTCCATACCTTGATGAGCACTTTAAAATGTAAAAGACATTGTTCAGAGCTGACATCTCAGAACTGTGGGATGAATGCTTTCTCCTAAGGATATTACTTGTTCTCTTCACTGATTTGACAGAACACTCCCACACACTGTGAAATAACACTTTACCTCCACAGAATAATAAACAGCAGTTTGAAATATTAATTCCTCGGCAAGAAGCTCCAAATGGTAAAAGAAACAGTATGAGTTCTAGCCCCCTGGCTCAACAGTAGCGTCCCTTCTATTCAATAATTTATATTTATTTCAAATGGTAGGTGAGTTCTGCAGTGCATAAAATTTACAAGAAAAAGGAATGAAAAGCTATAGTTATTAATATCTAATTATAACTATACAGTGTCAGGTGTTTTTGGGCTTAGTTGTGCTTTTTTACTCAAGATTATACTAGTGGTATCTAGTATATTGAATCGGGACTGCAGTCAGAAAATCAGTCTGATATCAAGCACTTATTTTTAGATTAGAGAGCTGTGGAAATGTAAAATCTGATTTTCTCTCTTTTTCTTCTTTAGGTTTCATTGATTTCATAGTAGAACCAACATTTTCTCTTCTTACGGACTCAATGGAGAAAATTGTTATGCCTCTTATAGAGGAAGCATCAAAATCTGAAAGTCCTGCATTTGGGACACCCAGGTATGAATACACTGCTTAGTTATTGAACTAACATAAACTAATATAATAATATCCTTCTCAGAATGACAGTGATTGTTTTAAGTTGGAAAAGTAACATAAATAGTTGTAGAGTATTGCCACCATGTGGTTCTATGTTGTATTTGCAACATGCTGTTACTCCATTGATTGTGGACGATTGTGCATATATAAAGACAAAAACACTAACGACCAGAATACACACGTATAAAATATAAACATGATTTTCTACAGCACATCTAATAACAATTTTTTTTTCTTTGACTATATATAATCTTTGCAACAGATTATTGAAGTTCCTAGTTCTCTTACCTTTAGCCTTTTTCAGTATAATTTTAATTGGCAGTACCAAAAGTCATTCTTTCCTTTGTGAGAGACAATTGGAAGTAGAGGTGGTGAAGATAGTTTCAGGGTTTTTCTGGGTTTTATTATGCCGTAGGTCACTTTCTTCACCTTTCAGTTCTAGTATTATTTGATATACACACTTGAGACAAAATTGATTCCACTTGTATTCCACTTGAGAGATCTAAATACCATATAAGTGAGATGCAGGGGTGGGGGGGTTACCCATCAATGTCTTGATTTTTGCATCATGATAGCAGTAGTCTGTAAAACAAACTAGCCATGAAAGACAGCGTTATCTGAGTGACTCCATGCTGAAAGCATCGGTCAATAATCAGATGCTGCTTTTACAAATATTGCCTCTGGTACCAGATTTTTTTCATTTTAAAACTGTAACTTGAGCTTTCACTGAGGCTACTAATATGATAACTCTGCAGGGCAATTTTTCATTTGCTGTGCATTAGTTAAATTTTAATAGCAAAATGATGAACCTAGCTCTTTTCTGGTCATGAGTTTACATTTATTTCAGTTACTAGAAGTAAGTAGAAGTTACTAGAAGTAGGTATTTATGACAGTGTTCTTAGCGTTTTGGGGAACAGTGCTAAACTAAGGCATTATTGATAACAAATTTGTTTTACCTACTCACTTCTTCACAGATGAGTGATTAGCAGGTGCAAATGATTAGTAGCTTCAAGCTTCATTTTCAGTTGATGTTCATGACTGAGTGGTAGATGAACAAAGGCTTATGATCCAGCAAAGCTTCCTCATGTGAGGTGGAGGATAATGGGATTTTTTTCTTGGTATGCAATCAAGAGCTACACTTACGAAGGGAGTGGAGAGCCTATAGCATGATACAGAAAAGGCTGAGCCAACAGAGTTGCACAAACACTACTGGGTGGATGCCATGAGTAGATGGTGTGACTGACATTCACTATGGTGCTTGGAAAACATTAGAATTGCAGCCTGTTCTTTCAATTCTATCTATTCTGGAGGACACAGATATTACAGTTAACTCTTCTTGTGTGGTTCTCACTGATATGTTCACTGCAACTGTATTTTCTGATTGATGGAAATCCATTTGTGTGCATATTAACATCTGTCTCTGGTACCAATGAGATAAACTATGCAGCTTAATTGAGTAAACAAAACCTGGTATGACATGATTATGTGTACAAGGCCAGAAATAGGTCTGCTTTTTTAATCCTAGGAAAAAAAGAGAGTTTGTTCTTTTTTTTCCCCACCTTTACATGTGTCTGCATATTCACATATGAATATTCAATTTGACTTCTACCTTACCTTACATGTAAGGTAGCTGTGTAAGTCTTAATTAGATTTTAAAGCCACTGTACTGAATCCTGCTTTGACTACACTTGAAGGTGTGTACCATGAAGAGAATTTTCAGGTGAAGCTAAACTTTCTGTATCTGTCATACACTTTCATGTCTTGCTTTTTTTAAATGGGTCAACAAATAACAATCAGATGTCTTTCCTGTGACCCCAAAGATACCATTCACCGTTCAAAAACACAGCTAAGAAGCTGCTCAAAAATGGCTACATAATGGCTTTCAAGAACCAACCTACAAGTAATATATTCTCAACTGTCACATTTTTTTTAAGAATTCCCTGGAAAAAGGACGGTAAGAATTGGTCCCAGGTTACAGCTTCATGAGTTGAAAAAATGTCTTGTATGTTAGGCACTCTTTGGTGAAAACTATTATTTTGAGTTAGTGATTGCATGTATATCCTAAGTAATTTGATTCAAGTTAACTGTGAATTGTTAAAATTGCCTGGCTGTGTTCATAATTTAGGGTTTTTTCCCTTCAGCAGCCAAAATAGTTTGGGAGCAGTAAGCAATGCTGAAGCACAAAGACGACTCAATTTTAAAAGTACAAGTGATGGTGGGACTCACACAGAAAATTCTCTAGCAACTGTAGACCTAACAAGCTTTAAGGACAACTTGATGAAGATCATTCAAGCAAACAAAGAAAGGTGGAAAGAATTAGCAGTAGAAGGTATGATATATTAAGGTGGAATGCTTTTATAGGTTACTCTCTAAGATCTCCCCTCATTTTTTAATTTCCTTCAACCTATAAAAATACATAGTTGTCTTGTATTCATGTATTTTATGTCTTAATGTTTGTTTAGATGGTCCTGTTTTGCTCTTCCAGGAGGTATAAAGAGATGTAGGTGGTCAGGGGATGAGAGGAAATCTTACAGCCTGTACAATAAGGCTCTGTGCTGCTCAGTTTATCTTTAGAAGTCTGGTTTAGAAATGTGCATTCTTGCACATTTAATCATAACTGATACTGACATTTGCTTTAAATGCCAAAATCAACAATTCAAAGTAGTATGTGCTGCCACATTTGTCAAGAAACATAGAAGTTGTACTTTGCTATTAGAAATGCTATTTGTTCCCCACTGTATGGAGCAAAATTCAGTATTGCAGGCTTCTTGGGACTATGCTGTAGGCAATTATTTAAATGACTCAATGGATCTAAAGATTTGGGCAATCACAGTATGTATTAGACCCAAACAAGGCAAAAAGTGACTCTTCATTTGCCGGTTGATAGTTAATAATGCCAAACCTTCAGCAAGCATCTTAGTTCAGAAGCCATACCTGAAAATTGTCTGGGGTTACAGTTAGCTGAGTGAAATGATTTGTGATAATTGTTGAACACAGTTTATAACTTTGACATAGGTTAAGTGAAAGGCATTTGGGAATATTTTGTCCACAGTCTGTGTTGTTTCTGAGTAAGCACCGGTAATATTTCAGTATAGCGTTTCACTGCTGAGACTAGTCTCACTGTACATGAACTGATACTGACTGCAGGTATCCTGGCATCCTGTGACAGCCTTGTCTTTCATCCCATCATCCAAAGCAGCACCTTTTTTCTCAAAGGGGTGTCAGACAAGACAGAAAAACACTGCTGAGCAGTGCTAAAATCTCATTTAGTGCTAAATTGTGAATGAATATTCTCATTAGGAGAATATTAAGAACAAGCTTCCATAATCTAATGTGACAATGGCTTGAGAGTTAGGTAGAAGGGGCAGCTGAGGAAGAGATTTAACTAATATTGTCTCTTTTTCATGAGCAGCTTCATATGATTAATTGCCTCTTTTGGTAGTGTCCAAATAATACTGACTGGTCAAAAGGACAAAGCTGCTAATTTGCGATGATCAGTAGTAATAGCAGACCATCAGAGTGCCCAAGACCGCTTAGCTACAGCCTGCAGAAATCAATCATGCAATATGGAAGAATGGAGAACTTGCTGTCTGGAAGTTAGCCGTTTCCAGTTACATCTAAATAACCAGTTTGATTTTGTTACATATTGTTTTGGAGGTGTGCAGTGCTATCAAAAAGATAATTTCCCCTTCATTTCCAGTGCTTTGTAGTGGTCTATAAATTACTGATAGATTTAGCCCAGTTTTACTGGGCTGTCGACAGCTGTTGAAAACACAAAACTTCTCACAGCAACAGATGTAAGAATTGTTTCTCTATACAGTCGGTATTAATGTGAGGCCCAGCAAGATCTAGGAAACTCCGGGCATGCTTTCTACTGTGGAAAACAGAGCTGTTAATGTTCAAGACTCCATGGACTTTGTTGAGATTGTAGTTGTCCATATTCTAGGATGCTCTTCTTTTCTTCCATCACCTTGACTAAGGAAGCATGTCTAAGTATTTCCTGAACAGAGTTATGGAATTACAGTAGAATGTACGTTAGGAAAACTGATAGATAAGTGGAAATAGCAGGTGTTGAGGCCAGAGCTTTATGAAAAATATCTGCTCTGTGTGATTGTGGTTGAATCTGTTTTGCAAAACCTCTGTGAGAGCAAGGAAGAGATTTATAGAAAACTGTGCCCACAAGGACACGACTTGCGGCAACATCTGCAGTTGGCTGGATCATTGCATGGAGACCTTCAGGGTGCCTGATTAGAATCTAGAGGAACCTTGTGAATAGTCCAAACACTTTTGAGTACAGATTTATATTTTGTTAGTACACGGATAGTAAGTTTTTTAATAAAAGCTGGGTGGGGGATTGTATAGATTTTGTGAAAGTTAAGATATTTTCCATTCATTTTTTGAAAGCAATCTGTGGGCTTTTAATCCATATGTGGGCACTAAGGGCTGCTGGAAAAGAGGTTTTCACTAAGTGAGCATAGCCTTCAATAGAGGACTATCTGAGGTAGCTCATACATTCCTTGTCACATAATGGGAGAGGGAATCTTCCCCAACTGGTCCAGATAGCAGTGTATCTGCACTGAAGCTGCACCCTGCAAAGGCTGAAAATCCTTAATTAGACTGTGCAAAAATAACATGTACTAAAGAATGAAAACTGTTGAAATACATCCCCTTTCCACTTGAAATTCCTTTCAGATTGCATTCAACTTTGACTAAGCTTGTAAGTGAATAGCATGAGACCTTGAACCTCAGATAACAGATCCAGACAGGATGGAAAAAAATTACCTTCTCTGACTATTGCTTGATGAAAAGTCTTTAGGTTGCTCTGGGCATATGTATGAAGTTGTGTTTTATTCATATGTTAGTAGGAGCATGTTCCAAGGTAAGAAATACCAGGGGTAAATCACTGCCAGGTGAAAGGAGTGTTGTTACTGCTATCATTATTCCTAGCTAGATGATTTGTGACAAACTGCAACGAACTGAGGGCACTGAGGAGGTCACTTGTATGAGGGCAGTATGCCATGGTAGTAAGCAGGCTGGCTGTTAGCTTAGCTCTCCAAACACACTTCCTGAGCTGCCTATGACAAACAGTACTTGTGCTGTTGAAAGAACCATCTGCATTCTTGTCAGTGGGCTCTGCAAACACTAGACATTGTTCCCAGATTAGTTCATAGGCTCAGGAGTTGTCTCTATAAAATGTAGTAATACAGCACAGACTTAGGAGAAGTTGTGTCTCTAAAATGCAGTAATATGGATGCACAAGTGGTACAGCAAGGAAAGCAACGACAATTCATATACTTCCCTGAGCATGACTTGAACTTGTTCCAGCTTCTCACTTTTTCAGGATAAGGCTACACGGGTGGCACTGGTTGGGAAAGCAGTTCAGCCAGAGGTGAGTGAGAGCTGAGGAAGATGGTCTGATTCCTATGCCTAGACAGGCCAGAGCAGGAGACCAAGAGACTCTGACAGTGCTGTTGACGGGGCAGCTTTCCTGGAGATGTAGCAGGCCCAGCGGCTGGTGCTACCCCTCCCTGAAAAGGTAGTTGCTGCTGAGACTTGATTCAGAGCAAGCAGCTTGTGCAAGGGACAGTGTGCTTTGTTTTGGAAAGGACAGTAAGGAAAGTGTTCATTTACCTAGGCAGCGGTTTGAGAGCTTCCTTAACAGAAGGCTCACTAAATGAGATGGCTCCATTTTGCTACAAAGACCAGGTCTTTTATAATTGATGCAGAGGAGCTCAGTGCTCGATAGCCTAAGGGTCCTCAACCTTTCACCACTGGAGAATTAGAGGAATGTTTCTCAGGCCTTTCAGGGAATGCTGTTAACAGGGAATTACCATAATGATCAAACATCTGGGATTCTAATTTGAAAGCCTTGATGTTTAATTAATATTCCAAACCCCTAATCACCGGATAATCTGTCTTTGTGCAGCTCAACACAGTGATAGAGAGACCATTCCATCCTGTGCTTTTTTCAACACATAGCAGTGATGGCTGCTGCTATTTGCAATTGTGGTAGTTGTAGCAAATAGACAGTAAAGATGCTCAGATGAGTCTCAGAGGTTGTTTCATTAGCGAAGATGTTTGCTAAATGGATTTTAAGGTCTGGAAGTTATTGACCTACTGAGAAAGCTGTAAGAAACACACAACTTCTTGGAAATATTTAAATATCATGTAAAATCCTTCATGATGCAGTTCTTAGAACACAAAGAAATTGTAATGCAATATTTTAAAAAATACAATGTTTATTTCTTATGCCTACAATGTTTATTCCTTCGTGCTTATTTTGTTCTATGAAAATGTTCTAAAGATTTACTAATCAAGTTGTCAGTGGTTGGCAAGCTCGGGTACTCTTAACAGAGTAAACAGGTATGGACTAGTAATCCTGTTTACCATCTGTTTGGTAGACATCAGTGTAAATAAAGTTAAAGAGATAAATAAGTATCATTATTTTCACTTTACATTTGAGCAAAAAGATGCACAGACAGCTTAGGACACTCACCTCAGGTTGTACCAGTAACATGAAGGAATGCAGCGTACGGAACCAAGGGTCCAGCCGCCAGTCCAACGGGCCCATCACTGCAGCATGCCAACGTTATTCATCGCCGGGATAATACAACAGCAGTGTTACTTGTTGTTCCCATTTTATGCTTATGTAACTCTTCTGAAGAATTAACTGTTACAGGACCTGAGTAAAGGTTGCATTATTTGCATGGAAAGTGATCAGCAACAAAACTTGTCCTCAAGACCTTTTGGCAGTGCGCTGTGCTGCACGGCTCAAAGGTGTATGTCTGGGATGACTGACCGCATCGGGACAGGATGAAAAATATGTGAGGCTGAATGAGGCTTTTGTACTCTCCTGTGCTTAATTTTGATAGTAAAAACGTGAAAAAATTACAACTACTGCATCTTTGGTGTAGAGATCAGGTGTTTGGCTTTTTTTTTGTGGGCAGCAACTTTGAATAACAAATGTCTCTTCTGAAAGACCTCTTCATGGTACCTGCAGGCCCCCCTCAGGCACTTTCAGTCCTGCATACTTCCAGTCACAATAAGCACAGGGCTCGGTTCCGTTTTGTGTGAAAGATTTTCTCTGTGGACTCACTAATAAGGAGAGTAACAGCTGCTGAAATGCGAAAATCTGAGAGTGATGATCTGATAGCATGTTAATGTGATTTAGCAACCGCTAGGAAGGGCAGGCAGTGGGAGGACACATGTGACAGTCACAGAAACCGACTGATGGTTTGGCACATGAAATCTGTCCTGATGGACTGTTGTAAGCCGTTGGAGAAAAATAAATTCACGGGGCTAAAGGAGTCCCATCTAGGACTGGGACAG